GCGGCGCGCCCTGGCCCGCCCCTCCTGCGTCCCTGGCTCCCTCCCGCGCGAGTCCAGCCCCCAGCTCTGCAGCTAAGGAAGCGTCGGGGACGTCCCACCCCCGCAGGGAACTGCGCCCGCCGCCCCCGCCCAGCCCGCACCACCAACCCTGGCTCTCCTCCCTCGCCCCCCGGACGGTCGGCTTCGGTGGAGAGAAACAGGAGCCGCAATGCCTTTTCCCCCCCTCTCCTCCACTTTTTTTTGTTGTTGTTGTTGCTTTCCCACGCTGGCTGAATGTGACTTGACCCCATTTCAAAAAAGTTTGACATAGTGCTTCAACATTTCCGCATTCCTCTGCGACTACAAAGGCTGCAGCCGCCTCCTTCTGCTTTCTGTCTCTGCTCTCTGTCTTCACACTCAATGAAATCCTTCATGTGCCTCTCCCGAAGCCTGCCAAGCACCGCAAGGGTCGCCACCAGCGCAGCGACAAGAGGCCGCATCGGGGACCGCGACTCCCGCGTGTGCGCACACGCAGATGCGCCCACGTGCACACAGATGGACGCCCTGCGGGGCCCCGTGGCGGATGGCCGCACGGACTGCGTTCTAACTCAGATATTTTATGTTATAAAAGTGAATTTGGAAACTAAAGCAAACGTGCGACTTTCAAAGGGCTCCCAGCCTGGATACTGGCCGGCTGCAGGCACTCCTCGGTGCACAATTCGCCCGCAGGGGTTACCAGCAGGAAGCCTCCGTTAACATTTATCTCACGGTGGAAGGTGGAGCCCACACCCACACCTCAGCTAGCTAGAGAGAGCTTTCGAGGGGGAACTCACTAGGGGTACAGGAACACATTCTCCAGCATGGAGTCCCCAGAGGCAGTGCATTTCAAACCCTAAATGTGGGTTATGTGTATGTCCGCGTGGAAGGCAAGCTTCTTTTGGAAAAGCTGGAGGTGGGTGGTGGATGTGTGCATAGATATGTGGGAGTAGGCACAGGACCTCAGTGTCGGGGGTGTCCCTAAGTGTGGGATGTCCCCTCTTCGTCAGATTAGGAAAGACTTCCTTAACTCCCTAAGACTGGCCCCCGGGAACCTACCCGTCTCAGTTCATAAGGGGTTAACTGCAGCCGGTTCCGAAGACACACAGCACCCCCCCACACACACACATTCACCCCCACCCACATACTCGCCTCAAACCCTGGCCAAGCCCCTAGCTCTTCCCTGAGACCCCCCACCCCGCAGCCCTCCCACCCGAGCGCACAGTTCCTCACCTGAGAGGCCCGGTGGCGTCCGGCCTCGCAAGGGGGCTTGTGGCGTCAGTCCGACCTCCGCACGTGTCCACGGCCGCGCCGAGCAGGTAACTGGGCTCTCGGGAAGGAGTTACCAGCACTCTCTCGGGCGAGGGGGTGGGCACATGGAGGAGGGCAGGGGGACGGCGGAGGGCGC